CCCTGTCACTATACTGGGGCATTAGGACCCACACAGACTGCGGGGTGGGTGCCCCCTGCTGGCTCCACTAACACCTCTTCCAGCAGCAGCCTTAGTTTTTCCCAAGAGGTCTCCCATCCAGGTCCTGACCAGGTGCACACCTGCTGAGCTTCAGTGGGCTGCCAGCTGTGAGTTGCAGAGTGATATGGCTGCTGGCCATATCTAGATCATTGATGTTCACTACATACAGTAGTAGAATATTTTTAATTATCTTAGAAAAACATGTTTCAGAATAATTTTAAGAAACAGTGGTAATTAAGGCCAAATAAGTCAATATTTATTATTTTTTTTTATGAAGACATTCAGAGCTCAACTATCATACCCTGTGAAGATCACTAATTGAATGTGTACAAGTTCTAAAGATGTATAACATTTCATGCCCAGAACTCACTGAAGAAAAAAACTATGATCATGACTCAGTTAGTGTGTGAAGAGCATGTGTTATTCAGAACAATATCTGATTTAGTGATTGTGACAGTGACAGACAAAGGAGATGTCGAAAGTTTAATATATGTAAATTGATTCAGTTTTGATAAGAGTTGACATATAAAAGATAGTGACATGCAAGCTCTTCAGTCACCCAGCTCTTCCTGACTAAAGTAAGAATAAGGTAAGTTAAACAACGTTTTACACTTTCAATTTGTGCTGAGCTTACCAGTATAGGTTTTTAATGAATAATTTAAAGGTTTTCATAAAAAGCTTTTATTTTTAAACTCTGGAGGTGCACAAAACATTTGTTTAGCATTCTATACAAGAGACGTGATTACTTTAATTTTTAAAAATGAAATTTAAGCAATATAAAGAGGTTATCTGTCTTGTTGAATTCAAGTTCAGCAATAAAACTACCACAGTGAAAACCTCATCATTTCCTTTCATATCCTTTTTCAGGAACATCTTCGTCCTGACAACGCAAGATATCTGTCCAGTTTGCTGCAGCCAGGTAATTTATATTTTAACCATATTAATTATAACAGATTTATAGATGAATGTACTGTATGTCTGAAGCATAAATGCTACAGGTTCTGGAGGAAACGAGTCTCCCTTCTAACCAGTTACAAGTGATCACATCACTGTAAATACGATTGCTGCTCAGAGCTGTTTCATAACAAGGCCTACGAAGAAAGGAGGTCATTCAGTGCGTGTAGTTTGTTTGGTAGTTAGTAGCTAACTGAACCAAAGATCTCATCCAGCTGTTTCTCAAAAGAAACAATACTGCCTTTTTTTAAATGTATTGTGACACAGCGGGGAAAATCCACTTTTCATCGTGATACTGCTGTGCACCACCAGAGGATTACATTCTATAACTTTATCCCTTTTTGCCTAAAACATTATTTAAAAGCATATAAATCATAAGCAATCATCACTATGTTGATGCATGATCAATTAAAACAAAATCCAGAGAAAATTAAATTGTTGTGTCATTAAATTAGTTTTTGAATATTCAGAAATTAATGAGGGATAACCTGAGCAGGAAGATGTAGGTGAGGCAATTCATGATTAATTGAAAATCTTCAAATTTCTTCTGAGCAGACAGCAGCATTTAAAGATGAAGAATAATTGAATTACATTTTTTCATTTACCATTTTATTTTTTGGTCCAGTTTTAAACATATCTAACCATCAATAGACTCATTAACTTACAAGCTTCAAGATCGCTGTGAACCATATTAGGAAAACAGAATTCTCCAGACTGCAGTAACTCTGAACTAGTTTATTTCAATCCACACTGAAGTAATCAGACCTAGAAGTATCGGGCACAGATTCAGTAAATACAAATGGGTCTGATCTTTGCTGTTATATTGATTTTCTTACTCTACAAAAAAATGCAAACATTGCAATGCAGTCATATACTGAGGAAACAGTATTTATCATTAATACTAGTTGACAGATTGGATGATAATTTCAGTTTTTGTTTTCCAGTTTCTCTATATTGTTTTTGGTGCGAGGGAAAATGAAGACTGTCGCAGTCGTGGGTTTCCTCGCCTTCTCAGCACTTCTTCACTGCTCTCTCCAAAGATCCTGCGACAGAAATGTAGAAAATCAAAACACCTATGAAAACTTCCTAAACATCCACCTTCTTTTTTGTCACAGGATGTACCACAAAATAATGAAGGCTGGGAAAATCTAATGCAAAAGAAAGGACTTTGCAATAGAAATTTGCACACATTTATTGTTACTAGCACAACTGGTGTTGAAAATATTTGTAGACATCAAGGCAAGTACGAGAGGAACACAAGAAATCTGTGTAGAAGTACGAATAAAGTAACTATCTATGACCTGAATAAAAAAGATCAGACAAAATGCAGGTATAGTGTCACAGAGGAAATGCGATATGTAGCTCTTGGCTGTGACTGGAAAGGCACGAACTGTTTCCCTGTACATTACTATGCTAGTTATGAGAATGGACCAGGTAATAATGATGAACAATGTAATAAGACATAAGTAGAGTATTTTCTTTCCAGAAATTCAATTAAACCTTTGAAAGAGAATATCAAATTTTTGGTCATTTTCAGCTTGTTAAATGTTCTCCCCATATTTCTGTAGTTTTCCACTTCAGAGAAGCTGCCTAGGTTAAACGTGTCTCTAAATTGTTCCTGTGTGTGTGTCCTGCAATGGGTGTGGTGATAAATCATCTGGGATGTACAGCAGTCCTGCCTTGTGCCCTGTGCCTCTGCAATAGGCTCCCAATTGCTATAGTCCTTACCATAAATGTGCAGCTTTCTGACAGGACAGACAGATGACCATGGTTGAGAATGTTAGCAATTCATTGGGAATCCTTAAAGGCATTTTCTGTATATTTGATGGCAACTAAATGTTATAAGATATTCTAAGAATAATCCAGCATTTGGAAGTGCTAAAAGCAACTCAACACATAAAGACAAAGTGTAAAAAATCACTGAAATGCAATCTGAAATGCAATATTAACTGTACAAATCATTGAGAAAAGAATATCTGATCATTTTTTGTGTCGCTGTGTTTGAAATTATGCTTAAAAAGACCACATTTGAAAAATATTAATAATAAAATCTGCTCACATGCCTGTTTAATTTGTTTTCATGTACTTTGTTAAAATCTGCCTGAACTCAGTACTGCCATCTCATTAATCTACAGCCTTTATTCCTCTACTACCTCTGTCTGGTACCAGTTTCCCATGTTTAATTGCACACACGAGAACATATGACGGACATTATTATGAGTTAAATACAAGGACCATGACCAGCTATATTCTGAAGGATAATGTAATCAACTTCAACAGCAAATCAGTACAGTTCGATCCATACTACCTCAACGCGTTCTAGAGAAAGGCTTTGTTTATTTTTAAGCATAAAATATTTGTATTGTGTGCAGGACTTGTAGTATCCTCTATTTATAACCGAAGAGACAGAAGACATCACTCAGGTGAAGAAGGAGATAGAATTATTTTTAAGCACCACAATTATGTGCTTCTGATTAGGAAGATTTATAGCTACAGTACCTGCACTTGGCAAACAATGCAAAATCATTTTTCTCTGTTTAGCAGAATGAATGTAATAAATTTACTTCAGATGCAGTTTGTATTGTGTGCCATTTTTCTACTATATTTCTGTTCTTAAATGTGGGAGAGGAGTGGTGTACTTGGGGATTGTTCCTACTGTAACTATTGACAGATCTAAATCCACTTCTATTTTCAAGATAATGCCTTGGTTATAGGCAGCTTTAACTGAGTCTCTTATATGTGGATTCAAAATGTCACTCTCTTCCAGGGGTCCTCCGGAATACTTGTTAATTTCTCAATGTTGCACAAATTTGTGAGTCTGAACAACTGGGTTTCCAGTTTTGTGTATAAGTAGTGATTTGGGGAAAGGCTGTGGGAACCTCTCTGTGCCAGGCAGGCAAACCTGTCCCAGCTGGGGCTACGAACCTGAGAGACTCCAGTAGAAGCCCCTCTGTGCACAGGCAAGCATGGATAGCACTTCAGACAATGTGTTGATTTCTAGAGTTTCTTGGTTTATGTTTCTGCTCTGGTCTGGCTCTCTGAAATAGTTACTGAACATCGTTGTGCTGCAGCCTTTGAAGGAGAGGTGAAAGAGAGGGTGTATTGTAAGTTATCTTGTACCCCCTAGTTTGTGTGAGCTGCTTTTGATAAAATAGACCCAACCTGACTGATAAATATTAACAGCAGAACACTGTACTTTGTTCAAAAACCGCATTCGAATGACAATATTAGCTTTATGGAAATTATACAATAATCATAACCATGTGGAAAAAAAGAATATTCAATGAACTGTGATACTGTGATTTGGCGTCCTGGCCAAATTTCCCAATTGCCTTTACCAATCATGGCCTCCTAATAATCCCCATCTATGAATTGGCTTCATTACTCTCTACTCTCCTCCCCACTAA